CAATTTCAAGGAATATTTTATTAACTTCTCGTGAGGCAGTGAAGATCAGGCAAAAACATAAAAAAGAGGTCATAGTACTCGCCGTGCCGCGAAGTCAAACCGGCCTACACTCGATCATAACCTGTTGTTGTGACCAAAAAAGCAAAAATTGGCGTGACATCTTTGCGATTTCAGGCCATTTTTGGTCGTATTCTGTGTATTTGTAAAGACCGCTAGCTTCCAACCCACTTTAAAATAAATTGTTGAACGTCAAAACCACGCACTTCAGCATCTTGAACACATGCTTTTTTCCAAACTTCAGTGCGGCAAACTAAAGGCGATTTAGGAATTCACGGAATCCATCCGCCTGTACTGGGACGTCTGATTCGTAGAAACAGTCAAGTAAACTATCCTGTTGTTACAGGTCCCGTCCATATGGCTGTGGCTAGGGTCCAATCCCAGCGTTCGTTCGCCCCTTAACTTTTGATTCAAATCGTTGACAACACTATAATCGATTGTGATACAGGTAGCTTAAGTATGTTACTTGCGTTGGCAGAAGGACGCTCACCAGTCGTGTTACGGAACTCACTCGTCCCGCTGTGCCTTACGTGGATCGTCTCTCAAAAAAAGTCGCCTAGATAAAATCCATTGAATTATTTGTTTTTGAATGACTGGGGTAGACTGGACCACCTGTTGAAATCCCAGCTGTTAGTAGCGTCACATATGGGGCCGGACGGGACCAAACGGCTCCAATTCCATCGTCCTATGAAAATAGACAACTGGTGAAAATAAATGGTGGACCTGTGAAGGACGCTTGTCTTTTTCTCGCGATCTATGCAAATAGTCGGACGGTGTAATTGTCTTCACGTCTGTTTCAGGAAAGCTGTGTATTTCGGGGCGTGTTAAAAGCCGGCAAAGTGGTTGTCATGCCCTTCACAATTTTCGGGACCTCTAAGTCGACTGGACTGGAAGACTCCGAAGCGGCCGATAACACAAGCCTTACTAGACGCTGTGCGGATGGAACCAGCATCTGTTTCACCGAGGCCGCCAAGTAAGTCCAAAGCGAAAGTTCTAGACTTTTCTGACTGAATAGCTAGTCGCGAAAACACATCAAAACTTACCTATTTTGAGCGATGATTATGACTGCTTGTCATGATCAATGAATTTCCAGTAGATGTGGTTGTGACTCGTTACTATCAGTGTGGCGATGGAAAATCCACTCTTTTTTTCATGTAACCAGCATCTGAGAAAATCCCATTTGGTTCTCACTGTTCTGCAGGAGGTCTCTGGGAGAAGTATTCGCGATGTGTGACTGGGATGGCAATGGAGTTCTCCGCCAGGACGAACTGGCCTTCTATTTATACCAAACAGAAGGAGAAAACCTAGGCGGAGAGGAATTAACAAGATGGAAAAGTGAGCACTTGCGAAGATTTGTACTTAATCAGTGTCCAGTTATGTCTGTTGCGAAACGCTGAAAAACCTGGCTGGGAGTCTTCACATACTTTAATTCGGTCACCTGCTTTTGCAGTTGACCCCCTAATGGTCGATTCTGGCTTCGCAGCGCTAAACCTCCCCAATTTTTGAAGAATTCGGCTGCTAGATCGCGGTTGGTAGCCAGGAATGGGGAAGCGGACGGCGACCTTAACCCTAATCCTAAAGTCAACCCTGACCCTGACCTCGACCTTAAAGCTTAACGGTCAACCCTAACGGCAACCCTAACCCTAACCGAAATCGTAAACGTAACCGTAGTCCCTAGACATAGCCGTAACTGATAAACCTAACCGTAATACTGAAAGTTATTGGTACTCTCAAACCCTAACCGTAACCCAAAAACCTAGGACTAAAGGCAAAACCCTAACCCGAAAATCGAAACCATTAACCGTTACCCTAATCCTAACCTCAAACGTAAAACGGAAGCCAAATGGGTCAGATGCGATTATGGAGCCCCACAAAATAGCTCCAGTAAAACAACCCCCCCCCCAGCCACCTGTAATACGGGGCCTGGCTACCAACTGCGATATAGCCGAATCGGCCCTCAAAAAGCACTAAATTAGGTGTAATTAAAAAATCTGAATTAATCTTAACGAGAAAACAGTTAAACTATCGCCAACACTGAAGTTCTGGTATCCAACACTTGAGGCTGATATCAAACCGCCGTTCTGTAGTCGTCTTCCTTCCCTCCTGTAGTAAATTGCTTTTTGCGGCATCTACAGTCCAACCCGCCCGAATGCACTGGCAACATATCTAAAAAGAAAAGGTTTAAAAATCGATAAACCGGGGGGAAATGTTGACAGCAGATGCTGTCAGTCCACCTGCGATGTCCATTCTCTGAAGTCCGGAAAACCTGGTGTCGAGTAATTTTGGCGATTAAACATTCCTCCGGGGTCGGAAGTTTGAACCTAGATTTAGTAGCCCCCGATACTTTTCCTGAAACTTAGACGTAACAGCAAAACAAGTAGTCAATACATGAAGTCCTCAGCGCTTGTCCAGACGTGAGTCCAGGTCACTTCACTCTAGATGAACATGTTCATGCGTCGATCAAAACGGTTTTCGTGTTTAAAACCCTCACATTAATCGGTAGTCTTTTTAAAATATTACATCATTCACTATACCAGCAGCACGCGTACCAGCTAAAAGGCCAGACGTGCGTTTTGCTGCCATTCTCCCACTGTGTGACGCGACTGCGGGGGATTCGGCTCATTAATGGACCCCACAGCGTTCCCCTCGTGACTTCTGGTAGATACTCCAGTTTTAAAATTTCAGCTTTTGAGTCACTTCAGAAATTAATCGGTTACCTGGAGTAAACGAAGTTTCGGATCGAGTCCCTAAAGCTTCACTCCAACTGATTTACTCCAAGTTAGCGATTGATTTCTGAGTAGAGTAAAAGGAAGAGTGTTCTTATATCCCAGACTGCCAAAACTAGTTGCCGGCCCCTCAGAGTTAGCGCTCATTCCCCGCTCCTGTTTTATGTATATGGAAAATAAATGGATGTATTTCAGCCCAAATGCGCATGTAAACTTTCAGATCAAGCCTAGAAAGCTTCGTTGAGAAAGACTTTCTCCAGTTTCGCGCATTAATTTCGGAGGAGATTAAAGAAGCATTATTTAAAAAATTGAATTATATCTAAGAAGGCATACGAGAACGCAGGCGGATCTACTGATGAACCGAAGCCTTCGCAGCTATGTCACAAAATCGGTGACACAAAATCGACAAAATACGTGTGTCTGAGCATTTAGCTAGTACCTGTGCTCCCAGTAGGACGAATCATCCAATACGTGTATACTACTGACTACCCGTTGGTGATTTTCAAGTAGTAAGCGCCCAGTCAGCAGCAACTGACAGACTTCAGTTCAGATATTTACACCAACTTTTGTGGTAGAGCAGAAGGAGTTTCGTTGTGGACGACTAACTCCAAGTCGGCGTATTAATTTCCCGAGAACTTAAAAGGGACTGCCAGGAAGAGGCTGTAAAATTGAGAGCGTTGATGTTGATTCCAGGGAGGTGCTCTTCGTTTGAGCATAAGTCAACACAGTCTTCACAGTTGGCTTCGAAGGTTACGTGCCAACTCAACTTTCGTTCGTATTAACAGATGCTCCATCTGTAAGCTCCGTTACAAATGTTCAAATAAAACAGATAAAAATCTGGTCAACTATATTGATGAAGAAGAGGTTGGTGTTAATGTTCATTTCTCGCTCATTTGCATTCGTTCAACAGTCATTACCTCAATCCGAGAGTACGAGCACTGTTGCTTGGGACCGTTAAATCAAGCGTGCTGTCATGTACCCAGGTCCCTTGTGCCCCCCTCCCCTATTGCGATCATGATCCTATCGAGTTATACCGTCTTTTATTAACCTTAGATTGGCCCAACTAATACCTGCATCTTAGGCTTCATAAAACTTCGCATCTGAAATTAGTCGGCTTCCAGCTAATCAAGTATCCTTGCTCTGTGACCATATATCTGTCGAGTTTATGTCGCATGTTCAACCGTACTCTGTGGCAAAAGAGCAATTCCGGACGCCATCCGTTCGTTGTACTCCTTTGCTGCTATTTTGGTCGGCGATCTATAATCTTTGTCTGATTTCCCGCATAGCTAAACGTCAGGTAGTCTTCCATAAGTCGTGATCCCGGAAGCCAACTTTTGCATGTCGGAATCGATTAGCTTAGACGATGTCCCTTTGCTTGAGAGGAACTTAGAATGCCGTACATACATGTGGCGTTTAAAACCTATCTCTACGCAAGATGACGATCTTTGTGATCCTAAAATACACGCTTATATCGATATTTTTCACCTGCTGGGTAAGTCTGTGTCTTCTCCAGAAGCCAGGGGTGGAAACAATGAAGAAATTACGCTTGAGGATTTCTATCAGTTCCATCTGGAACAAACAGAAAACAAGGGAGGTGATATCCAGGCCTTATGGCCTGTCCTTCGCGCTTTTGGATTCAACAGCCAACTCCAGTTGCAACAAGTATGTCCACCAAAGCAACGTCTTGTTCCCTCAGTATGTGCTCTTTTATTGGCGTCTATTGTACAACTTTCTTCATAATTTCAGGCAATATCATACAACATAACAATTTCAGCAAGAATGTCGGAATCGAAGGTTATGGTGGCAGTGGAACACATATATCGTGAGGTCTTTGACTGTGACGACGTGGAGTACTACCTGGCCAGATGGATCACATCCAGAGTGCGTCCGGCTTTACATGCATTATTGTTTCACTGAATCCATTTTTGGTTCACAGGTTGTTTGGCTTCCGAAGGACCTACCTAATTGCTGCAAACTGCACGGCCGTTTTAGGGCTCCCTCGTCACCGTAAACTCAGAAACAAAACATCAAATGCCCAAAGAGGACTTTGAATTGTGGGCCCTGTCGCTACCGGAAGCCCGATTTTTTGCAATTAAGGCAAACAACAAGACAGCAACCACGAAAAAGGTAGCCTCTAGTTCACTTCTTCCAACCATTTTTTGCACATTGGGCTGCCTGCACAGTAACATTCATCAGGTTTCTTTTAAGGACGGTCCCATGAGTGACTGCTTTCAAATTCACCTCAGCGGTGGCGTCAACGCCCATTTCGGGCCCGGCCTCCTAGTGAAGACCAGCCCATTTCTTGGGCCTCGCGAACCCATCGCTGGCGCGCTGGAGTACATTGTTGAGAGCGTGCAGACTGGATCACAGGTAAGAAGACTGGTACGTTTATGGTGGGCAGCGACAATGCGACTAGTCAGTTCGAACTCGCAAATCTGCCTAGACTCCTAACTACGATCGGAGCGCATCAACTGCAGTTACTGTCATGGTTGCATGCAGTGTAGAACTATGTTGTTCGAAAACTAGTAGCACTTCTCTTCCGTTCTATCCCCCCCCCTACTCCCTTATTATAACGAAATATTACTTTAAATGACTAAGGGGAATAGAGTGGTGGTTTCTGGATTTTTCGTCATTGTTGGCCAGCCAAACACAAATTCCCCCCTAATTGGGAATCTGTAAAGTCCAAGTCCCGGTCCGGTTGGTCACTTAGTTTGTCGGTCTAACAGTCGCACCATGATGTTGGGCTCTTTTGGCTACGAATGGAAGTGCTCCGCGTCGTATGGAAACGACCTTCAGTAGTCGGCAGGATAAGGGAATAGAAACTCCTGGGTGATACAGGTGAGCTTGGTGTAAATTTCGGGGAAATTGGAGTCAGAGCTAAGGCTTAGATTATGCTCAGGATTAGGTTGAGGCTCAGGGTTGTGATTTGCGCAGAATTATGCTCGGAGTTAATGTTAGGATTTGAGCATGGGATCAGGTACACATCCTGGAAGTTGGCGCGGAGGCACCTGCATTACGGGGGTCCTTATCCCCATGTCTTACCCAATGATATAAGACGAATTCCGCATAGAGTTTACATGTCACGTTTCGTATTTGAGGAGATATAGAGTGAGAAAATTACTAGGACAACGGGGCTGTTGATAAGAAGATGAGGCGATCGCTGGAACAAGGGCTTTATTCGCCTGACGTTTCAGATTCTCATTTGAACCCATAAACAGAGGCAGTGACAGAGACGGGCGATTCGTGTACAGGAAGTTGCAGTATTGGTAGGATGCAGTTGCTATGCTACCGCATACCTATAGTAATTAACCGCACTCCCCTTCATCAAGAACTGTTGCTCGCTGGTGTAGTAATTGCTTGATGGCCGGCATGCTAGTTGTTACTTGCTGAAATCCCATCACGCGTGTTGTATGCTGGCGTGATGATTGCTCGGACATCTGGCTCACCGGCTTGTGCGCTCCCCGAGTGGTTACTTACTTTGGACAGATTATGCTTCAGTGTGGAATACGGAGTGGGGGTTGTAACGCTTCTCAGCGCAGTAGTTTCTGTTGTCAGATATCTACGGCCTAGCCTCATTCCAGGAAGGCCCAAGACTGGATTAGAAATTAAGTAGTTTGCCATTGTACTGTCGTCCACAGGGACTGCTGACTCAAAGACCTCCAAGTCTTGTGCCAACAGTCGCCACAGAATGCTGCCGATGGCATGACGGGACAAGCAAAAACGTGCAACGGTCGTTTATTGGTTATAATCCATCTTGGGGATGATTAACACTCTTCCACTATTGTCATGCTCCTGTGGGGCAGAATATATTGGTTGCACGAGCCGGCGTTTGTCCAAAAAGTAAGAGAATACCTTCCAGCATGGTTAGGAAAGGGGCCAAATAAAACACGTCAACAGCTCTATCCTCACCCACATGGTTGACACAGATCACTGTGTAGATGCCGGACAGGCATTCCGAGGTCCCTTCGAGCTATTCAAGATCACTTCTACAGTATCTATTGGCGACTGCAGAGGCGGCTGCAATCAGGCTATACAAACCAGTTCTATGCGCAAAAAGAACTTCGTACAGGTCCCACTGTTACCATGGGCCAAAGCCACCATGCTAGTCACCTGCGCATAATTACCCGTCTCAGGACCCACCATCGCCTTCCTCCCTGACACTGGCGATGATTTTGTTTTTCATCTCATCCACCCAGACCCTCCCCCACAAACCCCAGCTACAGAATAACTTCTGCCTGTCCGCATTTTCCTTTTAATTATTTCGATAGCAATGTAATTGGATAGACCTGATGAGAATTTATCGAAAGCTTCAATGGAGATTTTCGCAACACTATATTAACCTCGAAAGGTCCAAAAGTACTCGGTAGATTTCGCAGTAAGTTGAAGTGCATTGATTGAATAGTTTTTGATGTTTTTCCGCGATTGCCAAGTGGCGGATCAGAGTTCAGTTTAACGTAGAACGACCTTTTTTACCACAGTAGGGCGTGAGACTTTTTAATGGTGTTCGCAGTTTTTACACTACGCTTCGTTGACTGTCTTTTTAAGCATTCCCAGATTTTCTTCACACACTTTACGACTCCTAAGGTGCGTGTGTGTTTGGAAAGAAACGAGGCGCTGCCATATCTGACTCCCTTTGTAAGGAGACTTGGCAGTTTGTTTTCTCCTGTTGCGCAGGATTTATCGGTCAAAATAGAAATAACACGACTCGGAAGAAGACACTCCCGGTAAATACTGGTTGTTATACGTACGTCAATGAATCCTTCCAGGCAGTCTACTTAAAACCATCGAACCACCACCGGTCTCATCGGCAGCGCATTAGCGCAATGCAAAACAACCCTATGAGAGCAAAGAACCCTTGCACAGGAAGTGAAATTGCTGCAACTTGAAAGTCTACTTCGACGAATCCGTATAACTCGGAGCAAGGTAGCCGCAGTGACATGAGAAGGACGCCTACTCTTCTGGCTTGATTTCAGGACAGCAGATGCGTGGGGGTTAGCATTAGTCGTTGCTCGGCAGAGCAGCACCCATCAAAGTCAGTAATCGGAAAATCCAAGTCAATTAACCAGGGCGCATTCAAAGCAGGAGGGGACAAGCTCGTGTCGTTTTGCCGTTAAGTCTTAAGTTAGAGTCGTCGCAAGCGATAAACAATTACTAAAGCTTAGGGAGTGTCGAAAAATACGGGCAGGTTGAATGATCATTTCTGACTCGATGACTTGTGAGTCATTGGTTAAGCATTGAGATTCAAGATAGTGACCCCGAATTGAATCCCAGTTCCCACTGGTCTGCGGTTAGGATTGGCCTAGAAGCGGACAAGAAACAAGCCCGGCATTGTCACTTTAGTCGCTCTATCAGACTTAGCGAATCGTGCTCCGGGTAACACTCTCTTCGCTCACATGTGATCGGGAACATTGCATCATGCGGAGATGGCGTTCACTGGTTGATCCTGATTTCAGGACAGAGCATGGGGGGTTTGAGAGAGGACTATTAGCTCACGGCTAGAGGGTAGAGCGTTTGACTTACGGCCCACTTACAAAATTGCACTCCTTGACGAAACAATATGCTACTGCTACTAAATCCCAAAGTGCGTTTAAAGTTGAGAAAACTAGAAGAGACTCCAAGTTGGGTACAAGCTAAAATAAGCATGGTCTAAACGGAAAAAAGCGGGGACGGTGGACGAGGCGACCGTGGTGAACATGACGAGAGGCCGAACAAAAATCCCTTTTGCTTTAGGGGAATCACAAATATTCCTGAAGTAAACGATGCGACTGGAAATTCCAGGCACGAAGAAAAATACGCAAAACCAGGGATGCCCCTTACCCCACGGACCGCTGGTTTAGAGCTTCTGCTCCGAAAGATGAGCGTTTTACACACCTGGTCCTTCGCTTCATGCCTCCTCGCTGTTGACCAACGTCAGTCTCGCACGAGATGGTAAATGCGTCCAAAATCGAAATGATACGTTTGGCCACATAGTTAATGAGGCTAAGGAGGATGGCCTTTTCGTCATAATTGTAAGCTTGATGTCGGTAGGGATACTCCTCCTCCCCCCTCCCCCACCCGGAAACCTGAAAAGCTGGACTGCCCAACTGCCGATTGAACCAAGATCGAATATAGACTCGAATGGACAGTGCACTGAATGAGTTTTAAATCATTCTAATGAACAAACGATATTCGAAAACGAGCTCTGAGTGACTATTCCTCCCACCATTCTAAACAAACATTTGGTTGCTTATTTGCAATGGCTAATTCTAGGTGCACAATCTCGTGTTCACCACTTTTACCTACTGGTGGTTGAGTGAGTGTGAAATGACAGACGAATTAAACATTTGTCCCAACAGTCGGTTCTCCCTCCTCTCAACTATATTACCTCGACCTACCTTTTTTCGCCTGTACTGGCCAGGTCTAAGGTGTAACTTAGTCTTCTTTGTTTTCCTGTCCCGAGTACTTATTTTTTAACTTTTTTTAGTTACTTGCAATCATAATTGCGGATTCGCCGAAGGAAAAGGCCATTGTCAACTTCCAAGGACGAGTTCTGGGTCCCGGAGCGCAGGGCCACTGCGTACTGCGATCAAAGGAAAGGAGCGAAAAAGAGACCTCCTAGGCTGAAGAAAACCGTGGATGCCTTTCTTGCCTAAGCTAATACTGCCTAAACCTTAGCAATGTGTGCTTTTACAGCGTCAAAAATCGACCTAGTCCGGCTGTGCATCGGTGTAGACCGAGAGTCGACCTGAGTAAAGAGCCCGCATACTGCCCAGTTGGCGCTCGCAAGGCTCATGCGGGTAACGAGAGAGAAAGAGTGAAAAGTCTCAAGCATTTCGACTAAGATATACAAAGAATTAGAGCAATGCGAGGGTGACTTAAGGGGACATCAACAGGAGCAAGCTGAGAGTGAATCCAGGAAGCTGGATACATGCTTACTTATGCCTCCTACCTGCAACTGGGATTCTGAACCCATTTAGAGGCATATACCAATTAAGGCTAGTAGAAGAACCACTAAAAAGAACCTTTTGAAATTCAGCCCCAACAGAAACTGCCGGAATAAGTGAGCGAGAAAACACCGGTTGTCGAAGAGGTCCAAGGGACCTTGTTGGGGGTCAGCCCGCGTGAAACAGTAATGAGACACAGCATTAACGGGCAGGCAAACTAAGACACCTGTACTTTTCTTCCTACGGCTCACTTGCCGAAAAGACCTTTAGATTTGTCAAGGCTCACTCTTCCGATACAGGGTCCAATTTCACAACGTCATCACTGCCTTAGATTGCTCGTAAGGCTAAAGCGCAAAGTTACACAAGGATGGCGTCTGTGGGGCTGGTCTGATTGCGGTACGGGTACATGCGAATATGCACCCACTTCCCGTATTACAGGCGGTCTTGCGCTAAACTTCGGTGATTAGGGACATGTGCCCCTGGAATTTACTGCAAGGTCGTCTGTGATACGGCGGTAACTATTCCCGTAGTCAACCGCAGTACGCCCAGTCTTGACACAGGACCCTTTTCCACCCCGCAGCTGTTCCCGGCCGGGACAGAGGATGACGAAATTAGATACAGTGGGAAGGGGTGTCGGTGAGGACAAGTGAAGTTTAGGTGGCCGTTTCCGACACGTTAACCGTTGCCAGTCAGCCATGCCCGATGCTTAGGTTTGGATAACCGGACTCTGTTCACTGAGCGTGCAGTCCAACGATCTACAAATGAGCCGCGGGACCGTTGCCCCGTCGACTGAGACCGGGGTAACTACCGTAGGAAGGGGGTTCATCGATCAGATTATGGGATATGTGCGCCCAGATGCGCTTATGGTCTCAATCCAGGGCTGCCGCGGACAGTCGCATAGTTACCAGTAGTGGTGTAGTAGGGAGTGTCCGTAAAGACGACGGAGAATGGGGCGGCCATTCTGGCTTATTAACCGTCATCAACCAGTCAATGCGCAATTGCACGAGTGCCTTTCGTGCCCTGAACAGTGAACGTCCTTCCACGACAGACACAGTAGTCTGCCTTGGCTTCGATCACTACTTACTCGGTGATAAGCGACCACCCACTAGGACACCGGACCAGACCTCTAGAATCGCAGTCTATCATCCAATCAAGCCAAGTGGATGAACGCCACGGTCACGGTACTTGCAGCACTCCAAATCGCATCTGACAGAGCCTGGGCTGTGGTTCACCTGGCAAAGAATTTGAATCTATTATTAACTGGGCCTAATTCCAGACCCTGGGTTGAAGTACGACTAAATGGCGATAGATGGTGAGCTAGGAACTACCACTTCAGAGACAGTTTTCCATAACGGCGATACATTTCACTTGTCCGAAGGACCGCGTGTAGTAAGGTTTCAACATGTTGGCCCGCAATCCATCAACGAGTGCAATGACCTCCCGGTATCATATTCAGTGCTGAGACATTCTCTGAGCAGGCGAATCAGTCACGTGGGAAGGGCGCGGGCGCTCGACTATCCTGGTGACAGCGAACCAAACTGCCGAGCAATCGCCACGCCAGCATCCAACACGGATGACGAAATCGCGGCCATTAACGACTCGCACACCGTCTGGCAAGCCATAATCGCATCAATTACGACCCCCCAGCGATGAATATGGTACCGGGTGGTCATTGCACTTGTTGATGGATTGAGGGCTTAAGAACCATGATTCGAGCAGCTCGTGGCTCACGCAATTTTCTTCAGCGCGGCTCGCCAGCTCTGTGTTACCATCTCAGCGACTGTTTTCCATAACGGCGATACATTTCAGTTGCCCAAAGGATCGCGTGTAGTAGGATTTCAGCGTGTTAGCCAAGAACTCAGATAGGGGGCATGTCCTGCAAAGGCCTCGTAACAGTAAGGGGATTGCGTGGATCGATACTAGTCCGCCTCCCAGCGTCAAGACTCCATCATAATATGCCAACCAGAGACGCCTGTCCCTCGTATCTCTTCAAGACAACCAAGACTGACTGATCCCATTCCCACAAATAAGCAAATATTAACTAGAACTCGGGTAATTTCAAACATTCACTATGTCTTTGATAAACAAACTTGTACAATAAATGGACATGAAAGAAGCGGCGAGAGTAAGATCGAAGAAACAACTGAATGCAGTCAAGAGGTACGCAAGGATGGAAAATATCACAGCAGGACAGCACTATCCAGTTTCGTCGGGTATAACCTTAGAGACGAGCTTCGAAAGAGCCGGCACGCGTCAGATACTTGACTCCCTTGAAAGGCTTATAGGTCTAAAAGAAAGGGAGGAAATGATGACGCAAAATGCCACTCGGGTTTTGTGATTACTGAAGAGTATATTAGCAAAGTCTCGAGGGTACCTCTCCGTGCAATTCGAGGCGAGCTACGCGGAGACCAGAGACAGTAGTCTGCGGTAGTTGAAAATCTAGGCTCACGACGGGAACGCAGGAGACTTGACCACAGCCAGCGGTTAGAATTATCTAAAATAAGACTGGTTACTAGCTATGTGAAAGTAGAAAGTCTGGGTGAATGTTGTTTGCGCATGTTTGTCACTTACGGGCCCCTTCAAGGTGGGATTGCACCTGGGTTCGATTCGACCGATATCCCAAACAAGGGTTTTCGAAACCGGATCAAAGGTAGCCTTTCCTTGGCTAGGCGTGACACTTACATTTGACACTTCAGCTGGCAGAACGAGGGAGGCTTTCACTTGTTCAAGCTGAGCAAAGTATCAAAAAATAGTCAGTCAAATGCAAAAAAACTTAAGAACGGCTGAAACAACGTAAGTAGTATTCTAGGCAGCTTCACGGGAGGAGTGAAAATGATACTCCGGGACTTCCCAACATCCCACAGGCAGCTTATTCATAAAATACAGGAATTAATTAGAACAGTAATTAACAAAGAGGATGTCCTACGGTGGGGCATGTACTTAATAAGGGACAGGGAAAGTGGCATAACTAAAGTTGTGGGTGCGAAATCCGTGAATATTATAGATTGGGAATGTAAGCGTATAAGCCATTAACATTTAAAATAAGCATAGATCGAGTCAATTCCCAGCGACTACGAAATATCTCGGAACACACGATAGGTCCATCTACTCGTGATTTAACGAAGATCCGCTTTCCTTTTTGCTGACAGCTACTCTCCAAGGGTATAGGGGGCACTCACCGATCGTCCCGTTGTGCCTTAGGGCTCTCTCTCTCTCGAGTCCAACTGGCAGCCGCTATACGGTCGCGAGTTCGAGCCTCTGGTGTTCCATACTTTGAGGTTAGGTATGACTGGCTGACGACGACTGATAAGCCAGAAATGGCCATTCCAGTCTCCCCTATCTTTGTCGGTAATACCATTCTACTCACCAAGGGATCTCATGGACACACTCGAACACTGTTGTGCACAGTAGTTCGAGCGTGTAAAACTGAAAGTCATTAGCAATAAATACAGTAAAATGTCGTCGCAATTACGCTGCCCCGTCCTTTGGATAAAGCCGCAAATACGTCGTGGTGCAAAGCATCAGGACGGCGTCCGTCTTTGCATTCGATCAGTCTACTCCGGAAAAAAATGGAGAAAACATGTGGTGCTGCATGTGCAGGAGAAGAAACGCAGCAAAGTTGGACTCACCGCTTTACCGCTGGTAGACTTCGGGGTTACAGACAAATCCAAACGACTACCCGTCTCCTTCAGAACAACCGAGTGTCGCAAGGATATAGGAAGAACGAGCGGGCTGGCAATTTTCGATAAAAATAAAAACAACTGTTGGTGAGGTCGTGAATCGAGAAGTATAAAGGTTGAAAATAACTCGAAAGGAATACGCAGAAAGAACCACGGTGTCCACTATACTCCCCCGGAGCACGCCATCAATGTTAGTCTGTTCCATGTTATTTCCTCCTGCACATGGGAGTAGAATGTCACTACATTGGAAATCTGACAGAGGGAAGTTTCTACACATCATTGGTCTGCTCTGCAAAAATTTCAGGCGCATAAAAGCGGTGCTTAAAAACACCACAAGCACCTCAAGGCTGTACGTTACTCGTCCAGTGGGCAAATAATTCTACGAAAAGGCGACTGATCCACCTCAATGTCTAGCAGTAATAGTGTCGAGAGCGTTGGAAATTTTATTCAGGAAACAGTATCCCACTTCCTTCATCCCTGACAGACAAAGCGGTTGCTAGTGTGAGGGAAGGTCGGCACAACCTATGGAAATCGCGGAGAACAATCGAAAGTCGCAAGAGGAAACAAACAGCCACGAGCCACGTACATGCATAAACTGTCGGCCTACGACCGTGTGCGTCTAATAACAGTGGCCGGACCAAGTCAAATGATCACATTTGTATTAGAGGGCCACACTGCCGCCCTGTTTCGTGCTCGTATAAGCCGCCGATTAGCCAGCCCTTAAACCTGCCCTTGGCTGTGTCCTATGTTGAGGGGGGAAAAGTACCCACTACAAGACGGAATTGCACTTGACAAAGCTTGCACGAGAAGGAAGATGATGCTGGTGGTGGTGGTGGTGGTGGTGGTGGTGGTGGTGGTGGTGGTGGTGGTGGTGGTGGTGGTGGTGGTGGTGGTGGTGGTGAGTAGCATTACTATTAACTGTCCCGCAGCACTAAGGATTCCATATGTACTCGAGATTTTGTTTACAAAGACTGCAGTGGAGTTTCACAACAGAA